CCACATCTAGACATTTGTAAATCCGCATTATAGTCGGTTTTATTGCTTATGACAGCAGGAGTCGGATGAGAAATCACTCCGAGTTGAAAAGCTAAGATCAGGTGTCAAATCGCCTTGTCTGGTAAGGCAGAGTTAAATACCCCAATTCACAGTCGTTACAACCAAAATCCGCGCATTTGGGTGGGCCAGAGCAGAGCTCAGAAGCAGCAGTACACAGTTCAACCTGACTCGAGCATTATCCTGCTCAAAAGTCATATAAGTTCCAAAAGTGTATGGACTTTAGACCAGACGGACTTTCACGGATTCTCTATGAATTTGTCGCTATGATGCGTGCCAATAGTGGGCTAAGCATACCTGCGGTTCATGGATGCACTATGACTTATCGGCAGAACGACGGTTTTTTCTCAATTTGGCAGCGGAACTAAAGCGCGCTACAAATCTGGCAGCAGGGGAGTGGCTCAATAACAGCGTGCTTGCGGCAGCACTCAAGCATCCATAAGCGCGGGACTCTACGTCCGGTTCTCGCGGGCGGAAGTGGTGGGCGTCGGCGGGGGTGCGTTGGTGCACTCTTGTTGTATCGCGTATCTGTTCAGAAAATGGCCCCCAAAAAGCGCGATCGTGAAGAAGAAAATGGAAGGACAATTTCCACAGATCAGTTGAAGCAGGATCACGAGATGTTCCTCCAGGCATTTGAAAGTAAGTGTTTTTTTGACGTTAGTGGCGCATGCCTTTGTTATGGGGGTCCGTTCTAATGCTGCGGGTACAATGCAATGGCGAGGGAATAAGGTTATTCAAGGTAGCATTGTGCGATCTGACAATGTAAAACATGAACAAGATACAATAAAGGGTTATGACTGGAGTGATGTCCTTTTGTTGATTAGAATCAGTCAAGCATGTGATAGAGATTGTTTGGTATAGCACATCATGATTGATGAGGCTCCACATGGCGATGGAATTTTGCTCATGGGTGGTGAATGTGAAGTAAAATTGGCAGATATCTATGAAATCAGTTAACTCTACAAGCATGAATTTTGAAAATAGCATTGATTTACTGAAGGCTGCTACTGTGCTGTCACTACTTTCCACATACTACTTTGGTTTAACTGGCTGGCATGATTTGTAACCAAATGGACCAGTGTCTTAGGCACATCCTCATGTCAAGCAAATGTGATATTATTGTCACATATGTGATCTGTGGACATTAGGCCTGGCTATTGCAATATTGTGGTAATGATTGTAGCAAAAACTTACTCACAAATTATCAGGAACAAGTTAGTATTGTTTTTTTAAGATAATCTGTGCACTCCTGCGTCAGCATACCACACCCATAATGGTTGCATACCAAACCATACCATCCTGTCTCAAATTATTGCATAACAATCAAAGCAAAGCAATATTGGCAGCATACTACACATCCACCAATTGAGAGCCACCACAGCCATATCATGTATGATGCCAGTGACAGCATCCAATTTTGTCCTGAGCACTAATAGCAAATAACATTTTTGTCCTAATAAGGCTGACAGTTTCAGTGGGATTTAACATGGCATTTAGCATAACATAACACATGACATAACCTAGCTTAGCCTACCCCTACTTCTACCCCCCATATCTACCACCGCCCTCTCCTATCCTACGCTCTACTACTACCTGCTCCTACTCTCCTACTCCTGCTCCTACTCCTACTCCTGCTCCTTCTCTACTCCTACTCCCTCTCTCCTACCTACTCCTACTCCTACTCCTGCTCCTACTCTTACTGCTACTCCTACCCCTCTCTATACTCCTATCCTTGTGCCGACCCATACCCAGACTTCTACCCTACCCTATGCTCATACCTTACCCCTAACCCTATTCCCATCCATACCCCTTTTTCTTGCTACAGCAGTGGGGGACTTGCTCATGCTCAGCTGGCTGATCAAACACTCAGCCTAAAAAAATGCCAACATTTCAGATCAATAGAGATGGTGGGCACCACAGTACAGACATGCAGTAAAGCAGTTTTTTTTGAAATGAGACTGGGGTATGAATATGCTGCAGCCAGTGGAATTTATGGCCTGGTAGTACAAATAGGCCTGAACAGCATTGTGTCCTAATTCCACAGCACATAACAGTTTCAAGCTATTGCTGTGACAATTATCTGTTTCTTGCAGAGCCAACCCAAATATACAGGTTTATCTACGGGCTCGACCCTTGTTTCGGTCAGTAAATGATTCCTGCGACTCTTGTGTATAATTTGCGGATAGGAATATTAGTGGTACGTGACTACTGCTTTCTTTTGGTGCATTTCTTTTGGTAGCTTATGCTGACTGAAAAGTAGCCCATTAGGCTATCAGCAAACTGCCAACAAATCTTGACCTTTAGGGTCTCCAATCCATCCCCAATATCTCACCTGTACTGCAGTAAAGGACTTCACTATGTTACCAATGTTTTGAATGACTTAGGATAGTCCATATATGCATGTGTCCTAATGGGTTACCTGTTTCAGCCACTTTTTCTGCACAGAAACCTGATCTACATGAAAAGAGCATCCAGGAAAAAGTTGAAGTCCAAGCTGACCCATGTGGACACACTTTTATCCATGGTAAGATGGGCTGCAACCCACACAGACATTTATATCATTCAAGTCCCTGTGCTGTGGTGTACATAACTTTTACTAACTCACTGACATGATTTGTGATAAAGCAGCAAACTGAGTGATGATTGAGTGATGGTTGGGTGGCATTAATCGGCATTTTGAAAGTCAAAAATAAAAAATGAAATGGGTGCAAAATAACTGCTGAAGTGGTGTCCCCTAAAACTTAAGTCATCATTGTCATGAAAATAGAAATAAAGGATAAACTTCATAATGCTGTTATTAAAACATCAGTGGTTCTTCATGTACCTGCTGACGTGCATCATGCAATACGTGTCCTCACAGAGTAAATATTTTTGACTCAGATGGATGCTGTAAGCTCTTTCTCATGGTGGATGGTTATTGCTTTTGTCTGGCATTCATAGTAGGCATAATGGGTATCAAAAGACTAGGTTCATTGCGTCTGAGAGCCGAAATCATCATCATTCGCTCCACGTCGCGCCATCACGAGGGAAGGGTCCTGCGCGTAACTGGCGCGCGGCTCCGTTCCGCCGGCCCGACCGGCGTCGTTTTTGTCACGTGAGAGCGCTCCGACGGCTGCGGCCACCGTCCCGACTGACCCGAAGGTCACGCGTGCCGTCCGCCGTCCGCAGATGGAGAAGAAACAGCACGACCTGGCCCACTGCACGCCAGGACAGTATCTGACCATCTCACACATCGGCTTCTACGTTAGCAAAGGTACGCCCGCTCGCCCGCCCCGGCGGTGACGTTCACCTGCGCCCGGCGGTGACGTTCGCCCGCGCCCGGCGGTGACGTTCGCCCGCGCCCGGCGGTGACGTTCGCCCGCGCCCCGGCGGTGACGTTCGCCCGCGCCCGGCGATGACGTTCGCCCGCGCCCGGCGGTAGCGTTCGTCCGCGCCCGGCGGTGACGTTCGCCCGCGCCCGGCGGTGACGTTCGCCCGCGTTCGGCGGGTGACGTTCGCCCGGGCCCGGCGGTGACGTTCGTCCGCGCCCGGCGGGTGACGCTCGCCCGCGCCTGGCGGTTGACGTTCGCTCGCGCCCGGCGGTGACGTTCGTCCGCGTTCGGCGGTGACGTTCGCCCGGGCCCGGCGGTGACATTCGTCCGCGCCCGGTGGTGACGCTCGCCCGCGCCTGGCGGTGACGTTCGCTCGCGCCCGGCGGTGACGTTCGTCCGCGCCCGGCGGTGACGTTCGTCCGCGTTCGGCGGTGACGTTCGCCCAGCCGCCCCCATAAGCTATGTTTGAAACATCTGCTTAAGGACTAAAAGCAGCGGGGGAGTTACTAAGGGCTGTTTGAGACGAGTTTCAACCATAATTAAGATGTTAAAGACTGTGGAAATTGAGGTCTTGCAAAGTACGTGAATCCACCAAAAACCGTCGTTGCCATCCGTGCACACCGTAGGAACCGTCACTGATGAGCACTAATGTGGGACGTGCTGTGCAAAGCATGGCTTTAAAATGCATCTCACACGGTCGCTTCGAACCGTCGCAAAGCAGTGGCTTGGATGGCGAGCAGATGCAAGAATCGCCATGGCCGGATCTGAATGGTCGCCTCTCGTTGCTGTCAGCGGCTGGCAGCGAACTTGACGAAGTATGAACGTATCTTGTGGGGTGGAATGAGTGGAGAGGGATGACGTAAGACCTGTGCTGGCAGCAAACGCTTCCACCACTGTGAATCGCAGAAGCTGGACGGTGGCATTATTTATTGTTGCGTATTGGTGCCCCAAACACGGCGGAATGCAGCGAAGTTGGCTAAAAAGCAGCTCTAAAAGCCGCAATGAAACAGAGCCATGCTCAAAAATCCGTAAGGGCTGTTGAAGTGTAACTAAACCGCCTTCGCATTCGCGGAAGCTGCAGATGATGTGGGGTCCTTGGAAGGCGATTTGTGCTCAGCTGTGCAGATCGCTTCCTGAGAACGTCGTGACGCGGCTGGCTTGTACTACGTCACACCTTGCTATTGCAGCAGCAAGGAAAAATGAAATGCCCAGAGCGGGCTCGGAGTACCGCAAAACACGTGCTTATCACCTTTGGCTCCGCAGGTTCTCGCGCTGCATTTGTCCGTTTCATTACGTCCAGTACAAACCAGAGGTACGAGGTTCGATTCCCCGCGGTGCCCGCCCTTCCTGCCAGGGTGAAAGGCAGGCGACGCCATGTAGCCTCAGCAGCTGAGTGCGTCGTTAAGCCCCAACGACAACCACATAACGTCCAGTACGAGCCGCTGAGAGGATCGCGTCCAGAAACGGGCATCTTGTGATGGAGCCTAAGCTATTTCGGCGGCTCTGAGGTACCCGTTGACGGCGCTGATGTGCTCCGGGCCGTTTGTCCGTTAACAGACGAGCAGGGGAGCCCGTCAGTGACCGCATGCACCAGTGGTCGTCAGCGTACTAAACGATAGGAAAATCGGAATGGGGGTCGGCGCTTCGTCCTGTTACCCCGCTTTCCAGGCAACCCTGCATCGACACGTTGTAATCCGTTTATTTAATCTTTCACCGAATAAGGTTGGTTTTCTACAGCACCTCCCACGCCTGGAACCGCCTGTAAGGGCATGCGGCAGGTGTGTGCAAACAGGTGGACAGATGTTCACGATAGGGACGCTGTCACCGCCCATATGGCGTAGCCTTTCAAAGCACTGTGGCTTTCCTTCAGCTGATGTCTGGGTTGTAAAAATAGGTACACTTTCGCTTATTGCGCAGGGCCACTTGAGTGTACGCAATAATATACACAACCAGTTGCACGATGAGAAATTCCACTCGCCCGCCGTATCTTGAAAACTCTGGTCTTTGGAACTAAAAATGTCCTCTGTAGTCATGACGTTGCTGCACCAAAAGGCCCACGAAACGGTTGCTTTCCTGCAAGAGACGGCCCAGTTCAAACTAGACATTTTTCCCGCACGTAAGCTTAAGCGATTCTTGGATACGATCAGCGCTTCGCGGCCACAAAGCGGTACATTGTGTTTTGTGTATTTCACCGATGCGTGTGGCGCGCTTTGCTCTCGCTTTTGAGGCATCCGTTTCTTTGGGCGCCAGAGCGGCTGATCCTGGCCAGTGGTGAAGGCTCTCGCCGGTGCTGGCTCCCAACACACGTGGGCGAGACATCCGGCGGCGGCTTCCTGGCTGCCCCCGCTTGTTCCGCCGCCTACGGTGTCGTCATCGTGACGTCAGCGCTGTGACGTACGTTCCGTGCGCGCCCCGACGAAAGCGGTCCGCTGACGTCACGCAGACGTCGGAGCGACGTCACTAGATCGAACGCTCCGTCCGGCGCCGGCTGTCGTCCCGCGGGACATCGGGAGCACGCCCGTGCAGCGTGAGAGCGGTAGCGCCGTCGCCGCCGCCGCCGCCGCCGTGTGACGTTACGGTGACGTCAGTCCGCGTCGGGCGACGGCGAGCGCGGCGTCGAGCGCCGAGAACACGGACACGCCGACGAAGAGGCCGACGAGGCCGCCGATCGCCGAGGCGAGATCGCCGACGCTGACGGCAAGCCGCTCCCGCCGCGACTCGGCCAGCGAGTCGGCCGTGATGTCCACCTGGATACGGTCAGGCGCCGCCATTGGCACGTCCAGTGGCGGCGCCGCCACCCGGTACTGGCGCCAGAGGCAGGGCGGCGTGTCCTGGCAACGCGCCGCCAGCCGGCGTCGCCAGCGCTGCCGGCCGGCCGCCGCGCGCAGCGCCGCCTGCGAGCCGAGCGCGCAGGCGGGCAGCGCCAGCGGCGCGTCCATCCAGGCGGCACGGCAGCCGGCGGCCGTCGCCAGCGCCGCCTGCACGCAGTGCCGGAAGCGCCGCTGCCAGGTGGCGCGCGGCTCGTCGCTGCAGCGCTCCGCGCGCCGGCTGACGCGGAGCACGCTGCGCGCCGTCACGTGCAACGAGACGACGTGTCCCGGCGTGAGCAGCACGCTGGCGCTGGCGGGCTCGCCCAGGCTGTAGACGCTGTGGTGGAGCGTGGCACGCTCGCCGGGCGGCCGGGCGTACAGCTGGTACGTCCAGCCGGCGCCCGGCGCCGCCGCCACGGCCAGCCGAAGCTGCACAGAGAACGGCTGGTAGCGTGGCCAGGGCGGCGGCGGCCGCGGCTCCAGGTCCACGCACTGTGGCAGCAGCGTCTCGTCGTCGACCCAGAGCATCGACTCGAGATGCACGCCGGTCACGTGGCTGGCGTTCACACTGCAGCGCGCGCACGACCGGAGCAGGCGCGACGGGTCGGGCCGCGTGCGGCGCAGGAATTCGGCGTCGGTGATGTCCCCGCGCCGCAGCAGCGCCAGACTGGCGTTGTATACGGCGGCGTGCGACCGGCGCGGGCACAGCGTCAGCCCCGGGAATGCGCTCGGTTCGTCAGAGATCTCCATGGCCACCGGCTCGGCGGCGTAGCGTGCCGCCTGGCCCCAGCAAGCGAGCGACAGCCCTACGACGGCCGACAGCTTGACAGCGGCGGTGAGCGCGGTGGCGGCGAGGAGGAGCGCGTCGCGGCGGTCGCGCGGCCACCGCGGCCAGCGGCCGGTCAGCCGTCCCAGGAGGGAGGCTGCACGGCCCGGCGGCGGCGGCGGCGGCGGCGGCGGCGGCGGCGGCCAGCTGGCGTCCGGGCACGCGATCTGCACCTTCATCACACCGGCGAGCCCGTGGGATTGGTCCGTGGGTTGTGGGGCGATGCGTGTGGTTTGGGCTCCGACGATGTGGAGTTGGGCAGTCAGTTTGGGCAGGCAAGGCGGAGGCGAGGTCTTACTATCACACTATTCTGGTCGATGGGCAGCACTTTGCTGGATGTAAGATCATTGCCTAAAGGTGCGCACTCTTGACGATCTTCAAGAAGGTTCTAAAAAGGGTCTGTGCGCTGGTGACATTTGGCAGATAATTGGCTATTCGGAACACCAGCTGCAGAACTAGATGTCACGGCCGTTCTCTTCCCTGACTTGTGAGAGGCTCTACGCAGATTCCGTCGTCGCAGCACTGCTAGCCGATGCTCGTCGGTTGGGTTTTCACTAAGCTCCCGGAAAGCTGTGTAGACTTGCAGCAGCCACGGATGGGGGTACACAGATGCAGCTTCAGGTTGTCACAGATACAAGGGCTCCATGGCGGCTAGCAGTTCCACTCTGATATCCGAACTCGGCTTCGCGTCACGCGGCCGTGAGCAGCGGATTAGGTCAAGGGTCAGTACCCTGGAATGCGTCAGGTCAGAGGTCAGGGCACCGACACGGGCCAGGTCAAGACTCAGGGCCCTGAGACGGGTCAGGACGGTTCAGGGGTCGGCCCTGAGACGGGTCAGGTCAGAGCTCAGGAGGTCAGGGCCCTGAGACGGGTCAGGTCAGAGTTCCGGGGTCAGGGCTCTAAGCCGGGTCAGCGGCGCGGCAGGCACGCGTCTCCTCCGGCGTACCGAGCTGGCCCTCCTTTCCCTCGCCTCACCTTCGCCGTCGTCCCCGGCCGGGACGACACGGCACCTGCCCGGCGACGGCGGGGCGGCCGGTTTGCGCCCTCGCAGCGCCCCCGAGCCGCGCCACCCACAACCTGCGGCCGCCGCGTCTGGTGACCGAGCCGCGAACCAGCCGCTGCAGCGGCGCCGCATTGACAGCCGGCGAGCGCCGATACTGGCAAACTGCGCCGTCCGCTCACCGGTGCGTCTCATTGTCCGGCGCCCGGCCGGCGATGGGTCGGCGCCGGTAGTCATGTAACATTCAGCTCAGCCGCGTTATGGCGCTCATACAGCCGTGTAATGGCGTTCAAGTAGCCGTGTAAACACGGCGGCGCGCTCATGGAGGCGGCGCCGCAGTCTCATTCAATCATGCATTCTTTCGGAACGGTGGGCCGTTACCCGCATTAGACGCGGGATGGTGTTTGTGCGCGCGTTCGATCACACGGCACAAGCTGCCTCGGTCTATAGCGGCGGCTGCTATTTGCGCCGGCGAGTTTGTAACCAAGTAGCAAGGTCGTCGCAGACGGTGTTCGCCGGTGGCGCGTGAAGTGAAGGATGGCCGGGTGCTGTGTTTAGTCGACGAGGATGGGTGCCACAGGACCAGCGCGGTCGGCGCACCCCAAAGACCAAACCATCATCGCCCCGTCGAGTGATGCTTCACACGATCGGGGGAGGGGAGGCTCTGGACAGCCGCGGTGCGGTCGTGTTTGGGACACTACGGTTTCACTTTCGGCTACCACGGCGTTGGTTTTGGTTGTGACGCCTTCTGTCACTACGGTTTTGATTGCCACGGTTTCGGTTACTACCAGTTCGACTTCAGTTACCGTGCCTACGGTGCTTTGGCTGGGCCAAGGGTCCCTTTGTGGCGCAGAGACCTGGAGCTGCTGCCTGACGGAGGATGCCACGAAAAAATGGACGGTGCGGTAACAACAACCTTCGGTGGGGATATATGTATGTTCAGTGGATGGCTCTGGAGTTGTCCTAGCTGGGCAAACGGCACTGCACGACCACTGAACTGTTATCAAGACCATTCACTGAAGTTATGAAGCGATTCCACTGTCACAGTTGCTGATAAAGCTGTCGTCTAGCTCACCTTTTTTTCTGCTGGAACCAGCACGGTTATCGCCGTTCCCTAGAACCGAGCGTCCATGCATTAGCCTAGACGTGAACTATGGAAGCCTTGTCGGATGTTTGATGGTCGGCTTCCATTATGCAGGCGGGCAACAGGTGCTCAGCACAGAGGTGATAGTGTTATGCGGCGCAAACCTAGACAAAAGCTTCGGTGTCTGCTGAGTATTTGTCATTAGCAAAGTGCAGCTGCCAGGGTCATTAGCAAAACACTTTCATACAACCTGGAGCCTGCCCGCAGTTAGTGCAAAAGCGTTTGGTTCACGCATGGGTGGGAGCTCGCCGGCCGCGTACCCAGCCGCGGGCCCGGGTCAAACGATTTGGTGCAGTGCATAATGACGGTGGGCTGAATTCGCCATGTTTTTTTTGCGACCGGACGTGCCTCCTCTCCCCCTCCCCTTCCCCAACGCTCCAATGGCCCTGCACTTTACCGTTGGGCCTACGGATACAGTTCAGAGAGGGTGGACGTGGTGTCCCGCACCGTGGTCCCCCTCTTCTCCCAACTGGTTTCGTGCAGGTCCCACCTCGGATGGCGCCGATCACGTAGTGGTTAACTGCGCGACTGGGGAACCAAAGAAACGGGATTCGATTCCCCACGGTCTAGTCTCAGGTCTAGTATAGTCTCAGCAGCTGAGTGCGCCGTGAAATGACGACAACGCCCTCTGCTGGTGGCCGCGCGTGACCCGCGCATTGTCACCTGTCCCACCTGGGGGGGGGGGGGGAGCGGGGCTCGCCTGAGTGTTCTCCGCCGCTGAATCTGACCCTGACCCTGACCCTGACCCTTACTCTGACCCTGACCCTTACTCTGACCCTGACCCTGACTCTGACCCTGACTCTGACCTTGACCCTGACTGACTGACCCTGACTCTGACTCTGACTCTGACCCTGACCCTGCCTCCCGGCTGCCGCAGATGACTCGCCGCCCGCCTCCGTGCGCGTGGAGACGACGCTGAAGAAGCTGTGCCACAAGCGGCGCAAGGAGGGCGCCGCTCCCGTCGTCACGGTCAGTAGACGGCTGCTGGCGGGGTGTGCGCTTTGTACGGTTTGAGCCGTGAAAAGACAGCGTGCGGGCTTTGACGTCGCGACCTGCTTTGGAAGTCGCTCGTGGGCTGGGCGAACTGCTCTCTGCCGAAGGAAAGACCAGCGCGTTGCAAAAGGTGGTGGTGCATGTCTACGAAAGTTGGCGCTAATGCTGTCCGTTGATATCCGGCCTTGACTGGCCCGACCGGCCTCCCCGGGGAGCTGATTATAGCACAGCGCCTGCTGTGGTCTGACATCTTCGCTGGACGTGGGAGGGCCGGACCTGTTCGCCAGCTCTCTGTCACGCCTCGTTCTAACCGGGTCATACTTGCTGCGCGACTGATCACAGGGACGCTGCTGGAGTGCTCCCCAGCGGTTCATTGCGACATTGGGGGAGCACGTGTTGGCGCCAACACTCACGCGGGTGTGAAGGAGTGCCCGCCCTGTTCGCCTCAGCTTTGAGCCTGACTTACCGGTGTCCTCTACCGTTGTGACCCTTGCAGTATTGACCCCAGACATATGTATGGCGATACGTTGATTATCTAACGGTACGCTATCTTCATCACTATGGCATTGAGTTGCACGCTGTGGGTGCAACTGGTCGCCTTCCACCCGCCCTTTTTCCAGCACCTCTCTGCCGTAGACTGTCGTGAACGCCGGTGGTTGCATGACCGGGATTCAGCGTTCAGCACGCGCCACTGGTGACCTCTGATGACCTCGTGTCCCGGTTCTAAGCACTTGTAGATCGACACCGGCTCGTCGTGATGTCTGATGTCTGGTGTCTGATGTCTGATCACCATGTGTCTCCGTTTCGGACGTTGCGATGTCTCGTGACCGGTGGTGTGACCTCTCGTGACCCAGTGACCCCGGTTTCAGACGTCGTTCGGCACCAACGAGGTGGTGGTGAACCCCAGCGAGGCGTCGGCGCCGCCCACTGTGCCCACCTCCTGCATACCAGCCGAGAGGTACGCTTGTCACCGTTGACCCCGGTCACCGTGGACCCCGGTCATCGCTGACCCCGGTCGCAGCTGACCCCGCTGACCCCGGTCGCAGCTGACCCCGCTGACCCCGGTCGCCGCTGACCCCTGTCACCGCTGACCCCGGTCACCGCTGACCCCGGTCACCGCTGACCCCGGTCACCGCGGCTGACGGACGGCCAGTAGGACCACGTGATCCTCTGGCGGGTCCGGTGACCAGGGTTGCGGTCATTCGGGCACGCTGGGAAGTGGTGGGACGGGTCAGGTCAGGTGGCCGCTGGGTGGCGCTGCTGCCAGCGGACAGAGTCGGGCGGCGAAGTGTGACATGGGGTATCGGTGCCAGGTGTGTCAGGTAAAGTGTCAGTGTCAGGGTTGTCATTTGGAGTGTAAGCGGGTTGGATCAAAGTCACGAAGCAGTTCAAAATTCCTGGTAGTGTTGGACGATTATGCTGCAGCAAAATTATCTCAGCTTGTATCGCTCGGGTGGCAGTGTCCATACGATGTCATTTATTTTTAGGGCCTGACTGGTCGCACCACGACCGCTGAGCGCCAATGTAAACACCGAAACTTCCAGCGCTCCGGAAAAAGGCCTGACGATGTGCTCCTCGTTCCTTTGGGATGACGTCATGGATATCCATCCAACCCATGCGAATATCGGGCACGTGCCGTGAATGAAGTAAATCCCCATCATGGCCAGGCCTCACATGTTCAAGAGTTGCTTTGCTTCGATGTGGTGTTGTCTACTTTTCACATGCCAATTGTTCAACATCGCGTTGTCCTTGCGAAAACACGCTGGACCTGTGAGTGGTGCCATCTATCGATTGCTGCACGAGGTCTGACTTGTGACGTCGGCCGCCGCTGTTGCAGCTTCTCCACGCAGAACGGCAGCGGCCCAAAGACGTTCGTGCTGGCGGTGCGCGTGTTTCCCCTGCCCGGCAACCGGGAGAACGAGGGTGAGTGAGCCCCAGCCACAACTGGGTCCATGGTCTTCAAGTTCACGTAAATTGAGACGCGAAGAAGTAACCCTGAGCAGATTACGAATTGGCCACACGCACGCAACACATAGCTACCTTTTGTGCGGTGAAGAACGCCCTAAATGTCCTCGCTGTGATGCGCCACTTACGGTTCGGCACGTTATTCACTCTTGCCCACAGTTCAGAGAAGAGCGGGCACTTTACTTCGGACGAGATGCGTCAGGTCTTACCTTTTCAGACCTTATTGGTGACGATTCTCGCATGCTTGGCACCGGACAGCTGTTTTCATTTTTGAGAAACGTAGGATTCACAGCCATTTACACACCACGGTAAACACTTAGCTGTTATGGGCGCAAAATGACCGTAGAAGTCGACGCGCCCTAAAACCCCAATCATCATCATCACCGGTGTGCGTCATCACACCCGCCTCAGCCCACGTGAGCCACCGACGTTCTGCACAGAGACTGCACGACGATGTACAACTCCCAGAAAATCGTCGCCCGTTCCGCTGACCCCTCCCCGCCCGACAGAGCCGAACCCGAAGCGGCGCAAGGTGGGGCGCGCCTCGTCGTCCGCGTCCGCGGCGGCGGCGTCGTCGTCGGAGCAGCTGCGCGCCGAGCTGGCGGTGACGGATCGCGCCGGCCGCTGCCTGCTCTCCGACGGCGAGTACGACGTGCTGCTGACGGCCGAGGAGCCGCCGGCCCGCGAGACGCGCGCCGGCGCCGGCAGCCCGCGCAAGACCTCCTGGGAGAGCTTCGACGACGGCAAGGTCCGCTGGGGAGGGTGCGGACGGGGTGGAGCTCGTCCAGGAGACAGGAGAGGGGGTGGGAGATGCGGATGGGAGGGTGCCGGGTCTTTTGCGCTGGGGAGCGTTGCGTGAGAGCTGTTTTGAGGTGGGACCTGCGGAAGTTGGGAGGGTTTGCGGTGGCGATGCAGAGAAGTGTCAATCCCGTATCACGTGACGCGCCACTTCCCTGTGTGTTGCAGGCTCCCGCACCACGTGGCGTGACGCCTCTCTGCCTGTTGCAGGCTTTCGCGCCACGTGACGTGACGCTTCCCTGCCTGTTGCAGGCTCTTGCACCACGTAACGTGACACGCCCCTGCCTGTTGCAGGCTCCCGTACCACTCGACTCATTCCAGTCAGCTCCCACGCTGAAGCTGCGGTTGGCCTGGACCAATCAGATGCCGCAGCCGACCGTCGAGAGGCCCCGCCCACTGCAGCCGCGGGACACCAATCAGATGGCGGCCGGCACCAAGAGGGGGCGGAGCAAAAAGGAAGAGTCGAGCAGCAGCGCCAATAGCCGTGAGTGGAGGAACAGCTGATCGCATGGCATTGCGTCGCCGTGACTTCGCGCGTCGCTGTCAATCAAAGCCAGAAAAATTCGGGAGTGCAGGATCATGTTGGAGATGAACGAGGCACGAGAGGCCGGATGCTACAGTTGCTTCACAAGGAGTGAATAGTGAATTGCAACTTGAAAATGCTTCCCTCGACTCATCTCCGTGATGTAATATTTGCTGTGACGTTCCCTTCATCGGATCTAGACGCGTCCCTTTACCACGGATGCCGCGGCGGCTACAGAGCCGCTAGGTCCGACGTCATGTCTCGAAACGGTCTATGCTTCTTCAGTATGCCTGTCCTCTACTCTTCAGGGGTGTTCCGCCGCCCAACCCATTCATGTAGTCTGTTGTCGTCTCTGCGTCTTCAGGACGTGTGTTGTCCACCGTTCCTGGGTGTTCCGCTCCCTCCCCCCCCCCCCCCAACTTTCTCAGTTCTTCTTTCGTTGTCTCTGCTTCTTCAAAGTATCTATCATCCACCGTTCCTGTGTGTTCCGCTTCCGCCATCTGTCGTCCTCGTAACCGGGGACGGCGGCAGGCCATTTGGCGCGGGATCGCCACCGGTCTCAAGCCTCTGCACCGCTTCTTATCTACTCCCACCTTCGGTGCGGACGTGATCGGACCCCATGAGCACTGTGAACGAAATCGCGGACAGCCGCACCAGCCCCGTGGCGCCGGTCGTCACGCCGCCGCCCGGCCGACAGGCGAGAGCTGGTCGGTGGACAAGGAGAAGCCGACGGGCGTGGAGCCGGCCTCGCCGCCGCCCCCGCCGCTCATCCTCTACCAGTTCATCTACGGGCCGGCGTCGCGCCAGCAGACGGAGGCCCGCCAGGACCTGCTCTGCCCCTGGTGCTCGCTCAACTGCCACAAGCTGTACCCGCTGCTGAAGCACCTGCAGCTGTGTCACGCGCGCTTCACCTTCTGCTACACGGTACGGGGCCACCCGGTGGCAGCTGTGCCATGCCTGCTTCACCTGCTACGCGGTACGGGGCCACCCGGCGGTGGCGGCGGCGGCATGGGCTTGTGGAATGGAAACAGTCGCCGGACCGCCGACAGGGGGCTATTGGTGTGGGGATCACGAAGATGATGGAGATGATGATGGCCCAAGCCCAACTATAGGCGCATACCACTAGCGTAGAAGGATGCCGGTGTCATTTGTTAACGTTTGTGGGAGTGTAACCGGATGGCAAGAACACGTCGACCGTAACCTGTGCAGTTTGAAGAGTTGGTCATATGTGACCGACAGCTTGGGAATGTTGGCCGTGGTTTGCGGCGGGCGTGCGCTGTCCACCAACCGGTGCGAGCCCTTCCCGGTCGTCCACCTTCCGCCTGTCCACCCAGTTGTCTTGCGCTGATGTAGCCCCCCCCCCAGGACGCTCGCTAACCTCGGGGGGGGGGGGGGGCTGCGACTGTAGTGGTGTTAATAAGCCCCTCAACAAGCAGACCAGAAAGTCAGCTATGCCGGAATCCCATCCCCTTGCCCCCCCCCCCCCCTCAAACGCGGCCGCCGCTGGCTCCAGCCCCCTGCAACAACTAATCCGTGCCTCCCCCCCCCCCCCCCCCAGCTATGACCCGCACCTCCCACCCTAGCTCTGACCCGTACCTCCCACCCCAGCTCTGACCCGTGCCTCCCACCCCACCTCTGACCCGTACCTCCCACCCCAGTTCAGACCCGCGCTTCCCACCCCAGCTCTGACCCGTACCTCTCACTCTAGCTCTGACTCGTGCCTCCCACCCCAGCTGTGCCCCTTGCCTCCCACCTCGGCTCTGACCCGTGCCCCCCGCTGCAGCCGTTCGCACGCGGCGCGCGCATCGACGTGTCGCTGAACGAGTCGTACGACAGCTCGTACGCGGGCAACCCGCTGGACCTGGCGCGGCCGCCGACGGGCCGCTCGGGGCCCGGCCGCCGCACGCCCTCCACCAGCGTGCTGGTGTGCCGGCCGCGCCGCCAGAAGCCCAGCCTGGCCGAGTTCCAGCAGGTGAGCGGGCGAGGGGGCAGGGCGGAGGAAAGCAGGGGTATGTGTGTGTGGGGGGGGGGCGAAGGGGGGATAACAGGACGAGCATGTTAGAATGGGGCTGGCTGACTGCGGAGAATTATTGGAGTAGGAGGAAGTGGTGGAACGTTCGCGCAGCAGGAGTAGCATGAGGACACTGAGAGACGCGCCCGGTGGTCCTTGGAGCTGCGACCAAAACCGGCTGCCGTGGGAACGGTCGGTGTGGTGTACAAACTCAGTGATGGCGTACTTGTCAAGCCACTTGCTAAGCCACGCCGCCGTGACTTAACCTGCGATGTGCTGGAACGTCGTAGCAAGACGGAGCGCCGCGGTTACCTTTCACGTGGTCATGTTGACCTTGACCGTATTCTGACGTGGTCTGACCCACGCTGATCGGATGTGCTGAGGCTCGTCCTGGCCCTCTAGGTGACCTCAGATTGATGTGGAGAGTGGTGTGGATGTTTGTCGTCCTCTGTTGGTCCGGCCTTGCCGTGGCTAACCCGACTTGGTTTGCGCCGCCCTAACTGGACCTGACTTGATCTGACCTGGACTTATCTGTGCTGTCATAACCTGTGGGACGAGACGGAGGGTGTTATTGCTGGCCTCATTGTTTAAACGTGGCCCGGTTTGCAGCCCCCAGATGCGCTCTGTGATGGCCTGTCGTGACCTGACCTGACCTGCCGTGACATGACCTGTCCTGTCGTGACCTGACCTGCCGTGACCTGACCCGACCTGTCGTGACCTGACCTGACCTGTCGTGACCGGTCCTCAGAGTGAGACGGAGGAGCGGATGCGGCCGTTCGTGACCGGCCACAACCGGATGTATCACCGGACGGCCACCAACCTAGCCATCCCGCCGGCCGAGCTGGCCTACGACTCGGAGGTGAGGGGGCGCCACCGGCGACGCCTCGGCCGGCCTCCTCCCCGCAGAGGGAGCCCCGGGGTCTACTGGTGCCTCCGGGGTGGACTCCTCCCGTGAGAGGGTCTCTGGGGTCTGATGGGCCCTCCAGAGAGGTAATGGGACCTCCGTGGGTAGTAAGGCGTACCCCAGAGCCCGGGGGATCTAGCGGTGCCTTCTGGCCTTGGAAGCAGACTCTGGGGATCTGCGCGCTCCCCAGGAGCTGAAGAGATCGCTGGCCATTGATGGGTGTCTCCATGGAACGGAGGGAACCTCCGGAAACGTAAACATGGCTCTTAGGACTTCAAGATACTTCGTGGTACGTCGAGGTATGTTTTTAAAGTTGAAACTGTATCAAAAATATCTGAACTGGGGGATCTTTCTGTTTTTTTCGGAGATTTTACAGGAAAGAGCGATCTTCGTGAGTGCTATGTATGTTATATGCAGCAATCATGATTGCTGGTGCTTTCGTCTGTTAGATCTGCAAGAACGCATTGGTCAGCTGACTCGCAAAATTATAATTCGTGGAAATCTTGCGCGACAGAATGGTTTGGCGTACAGTATGTATTGAAAGGAAAAACACCACACTTTGCATAGAACAGCTTCTTCGATGTCACTTTCCACGTAACCACGGCAACATTTCGACATCGGGCGACCACACTGTGATTCTGTGACGTCACCGCGTGACACGTGGCGCCCTGTGATTCGCCGGCAGGGCGAGCACGATCACACGTGGCTGCGGACCAAGACGCGGCGCATGATCTACGAGTTCAGCGACGTCAACGAGGGCGAGAAGGCGCTCATGGTCATGTGGAACCTGCACGTGATGAAGTACAAGTCAGTGGCTCGGCCGCCGTCGCGGGAGGGGGTGGCGTGCTAGCGCGGTGTTGGTCGCTCTTGTGGGGTAGAGACTGGGCTTCTGCTGGGAATCGGGTGGTTTACTTGGCGTAGGGTCTGGCTCTGGTCAAGACTCTGTCCTGGCCAGAGCGTTTTGGATTCAGTGTGGGGTGGGGGGGGGGGGGGGATGTAATGAGACTTGTTCAGCAATTGTTACGGTTCTGACAAAAATTGTGTGATTTTTGGTGGTTGGCGAGATGAAAAGGCCCTCACCTCTAGACATAGGCACTTGGTTGTTCACTGAACCCTCGAAAACCGACATCAATGCTTTATGATCCTAAACTGTCTGTCCTTGTGCACTCCGAGAACAGCCACGGCCGGTCGCCAGGGCGTTGTATCAGTTTTTATAGATACCAATGCACCTGGGGCTGACATTGATATCATTCCCACATATGTACTGTGAATGCATATCCGTGGATGCCACCACCAGCTGATGTTGTGTATGGGGGGGGGGGGGGACGGGGAGTGAGGAGCTTGAGCATTTTAGCTCCTTTCCATTGAAATGCCAAAGTATCATATTGAAATCAGTTAATTGGGTATTGACCGGGAAGCGTTGCTCCCCCGCCCCGCCCCCGCTGGTGCCGCCCCGGGACTCGTCCTCACCGCCGTCTCCGCCGCGCCGGCAGTTTCGTGGGCGACCTCCAGATGCCCGCCGCGCTTAGCCTCTTCATCGAACAGCACGGCGCCACCATCGTCAACCGCAACCTCTACCGCAACTTCGTGCTGCACCTCTCCTCGTTGTACGACTTCGGCGTCATCTCGCCCGGGCACATACACCGGTGAGGAGAAGGGGCGTCTCCCTGACGGAGGTCCCGGGTTCGAGGCCGGGTGGTCGCCGAAACATTACGTCACACAGCGATTGGTGATCGCAGGGTGCTTTGGTGAAGGCAGGAAGGGTGGCAGTTAAGCTCCCAGTGACTGATTTGGCCTGCCAATGATTCACAAGGGGTTTGTCGTGAGACATCTAACCATCTGGATCGAACTGTAACGCGAGGAAGCCAAAACGAGGTTGTACATGCTCGAACCTGCAGCAGTGCCGGAGGCATTCCTGCTCTTTCCGAAGTGCCTGGGGCACGGCAGTGCATGGGGCAGTTTTAACTGCAGGCAACGGATGTAGAGAGCATGTATTGGGAGACGTATTCGACAGCGAACAGTTTTTTTACTTTGTTTAGTGCCCTTATGCCAATGTCCCGTCTTCATGGTCATCAAGCGGGTCCATACTTTTGTTTCCACTCGACTTTGTCCTGTGCAGTGTGGACCCGGCTTTGTATATTGTTACAATCGCCGGAACGGGGTCTGGGGGAAATGGGTGGACAAATTCCAGCCGCGGCATTATCCAGTTGAAGAAGACCTAGTCCATATGGTGCGGCAAAGTAAATTGCGAAGTGAGAAGATGAGAGCCTTGTTAAATTAGTCCGAGCCAAATGAATTGGAATTGGAGGGGACAGGGATATTTAGGTCTGGGCCTTTTTTTCGAATCCTGTGGCATGCCTTTTAATCTTCATCGTACGACATATTCGTTCTGATTAACCGCTAAAGTTGGTTTCTGTAAGTCGTGTGACTATGGCGGGGTTTGTCGGAACGCGTGGTCTTGTGACGTGCAGTGCTGTTTCCTACGGCAGTCCCTCCTCGGTGCAAGTCCGAATGTTGTTCCGAGATCTCGTGCGACGCAGTCGCTAGAACAGCATAACTGCGCCTCTCCCCCTCGAGTTCGAATGCAGGCAGCGGCTGTGACCACTTAGGTGACCTTCTCAGTTGCCCGGCTTCATGCAGTGCGGTACGATAACGTGTAAGGCTTTGTCCGTCCCACTGGCTCAGTTGGTGAGAACGCCTACCTTCCGACCCACCTACCCGTGGCGGGCGAGTTCGAGTCGCTTTAGGCGCTCGCTATTTGTCCTTGACGGATGCGGCCTGCGGCCGGTGGCAGCAGCCGCGCTCAAGGTCAGGTGACGTCAGAGGGCAGGACGGACCGTGCCGAGCGTTGCGGGGCGTTAAACTGGACACCAAGCTCTGCGGTTGAACTGGAATTACGCGATCGGATGGTAGTGGTCAGGGCTCACACAAGCACTGGTTAGTTGGATCTGATCTCAGAAATACATCCATTGAAAAGATTCGGTCGAAATATATTTTTTAAAAGGGCACGCTTAACGCGATGGTTTGAGTTCCTCAGCTTTACAGCAGGGTAAACCCAACCGCGGCGCCGACACGGTGTGCCCGGCAGGGCGCTCCACTGCCGTGACCCGGCCTGACCCGGCCCCCTGCGTCCTGACCTCTGACCTTATCTGACCTCTGACCTCTGACCAGATCCCGCCCGTCTGCTCTCGGCAGGGCGATCCAGCAGTTCCAGGAGCTGGTGGAGCGCGACGGCCTGTTGACCTCCACGCTCGTCAACAATCTGCTGGGGGCCACCACCTGACCTGCGGCTGACGCCGGCGCGGCCCGCTGCCACCGCCGCCCCCGCCCGGGCAGCGGGCGGCGCACGCTCCACGTGGCTCGGCCCCACTAGACGACCGGCGCGGCCCGCCGCCGCCGCCGCCGCCGCCGCCGCCACCGCCGCTCGCCGGAATGGCAGCGCGGCCGGAGAGTGCCGCAGGCATGTGGAGAGGAGGCTGGGCGGCGGGCGCCGCCGAGGGTATGGCTGGGATAGCGGTGATGAATTGCGGTCAGAATGAATAGCGGTCAGCTGTAGTGAGTGGGACTGAGAGGGCCGTACGCGTCAGGTGAAGTCTGGAAGGGGTGTCGGTTCGGCTTGAATAAGGTAAGGTGCGATGAGGTGGGCTGTCGCGCGACGCCGGCTCCACAACGTGAAGAGAAATACACAGTGGAGAAGGCCGTGGTCAGCGCACCGAGAGGACGCGGGCTGTCAATACCGGTTCGAACCGGATCAGACCGGCTCCGGGGCCGCCCCGCCCAACGCGCGGCTGGGTGATCCGACCCCAGGCCTGGCTGACTGGCCGTTCGACGGCGCCCGGTTTTGTGTGACGCCTAGCCGAGACACTCCGCGGACTCCGCGGGCTCTGGCTGCCAGTGGGAGGGTCGTCAGAGTCGCCGGGGTCCGGTGGCTGGCAGGAGGCGCCGCCCGCCCCCCCCCCCCCCCCGCGCTGTGGCCGGCGGGCCACGTGTGTCTGGTGTGTGACGTAGCGGGTGTCTGGTGGTTGTAGCGTCCTCGTATGGGCGCGTGCGGGATACTGGAGACGCCCTCGCCCCTCCCCCGCCAGTTGATGTGTTGTGTGGCCCGCGAGGCCTGGCGGTTGACCTTTGCCCCCGTCACGTGACCACGTGTTTGCGCAGTGTCGTGCACCCCTGCGTGTGAACTGACCCGATCACGTGCAGTCATTGTCAAAAGGACGTCACTGTCCTGCCCATATACCTCTTCCCTCAGCCGCGACGGCGGCATCACGCCAGGCATAACATATCCCAGGGCGTCCGCCGTCGCCGCCGCCGCCTTTCATTGATTCACTGGGAGTCCGGGCCTCCTCTCCCGGTGCTTACGCATCAACGGGCATCACTAAGCGTTCGCCATAGTCACACAAGGACATTAATCAAATGTGGGTGCCCGGGCGGCAATTTTGCGCCCGTGTGTTCTGTAGTGCGCCGCGGCTGTCGGCTGTCAACGACCGCGTTCCACCGAGCCGTCATGCCGCGGCGGCGAGTTCTACCGGAATCCGTGTAACTAGGCGGTCTGTGTACCGTAGGACGCTCCGAGCGTAGTCAAACTGCCAACACGACGCGAATGGGACTTGGTCTGCGCCCGTGCCTTGGGCGCTGGCCTTGGCGACCTTGAAGCCTCGACCTCGGTGACCTGAGGCCAGACCCCAGTGGCCTCTGAGCGATTATCGTCACTTTCACACCGCCTCTGGCCTACCATCAGTGACATCCATAACTGCTCAGGGTGCCGATAGCTCGCTCCTGCCTTGTGCCGTGTGACCGGAAGTGGGTCATTTCCGGCTGACAGCTGGACCTGTCCGCTGGTGGCTGTTGTGTTTTAGGCGTGCTGTTGTGTTCGACAGAGGTCTCATCCTCGGATACTGGTGTTTTGTCCTAAAGGACGCCGCCGATACTGCTGCTCAATGTCTATCGCCGTAAACCGCCTCTTGAAATACACGGCCGGCAGAAACGGACGTTTACTCGCAGATAGGGGGCTGAAGCTTTCCAGTTGGACATGGGCGTTCGAGGCTGTGTGTCCACTGGCTCTACCGCGTCGGAATTTGTGGGAAAAGATCGTTGGCCAGGGCTCCCGGGGCCGTCATCGCACCTCGAGCGTGGCGGTAGGGACGATCGCTCTTTGTCTCGCTCGTTCAAATCCTTGACCTGCGCTCCCTGCTTCAACCTCACCACCACCACCACCACCACCACCACCACCGCCACATATTGAGGGAACTGTAGCTCCACGTCGCCAGCTTTTCAGCTGCCCGGCAGGTCTCGGTCCGGCAGCGACGCGACTCTGGGAGGAGGAAATAGACGCAAAGGTCCCGGGAACTCACCACGATCGGCACAGAGACGGGTACGCCGTCCGGTGTGAAGTAGCAAAGTGGGGAACTTCCCACCCTGTACCTCTCAGTGCGCCTCTGCGCGCTTGATCTCGAGTCACGTTCCGGCAGGGGCGAATCTGGGGGGAGGGGGCAACCGGACCATGTTGGCTCCTCCCCTTCAAGACGGCCAGGCAGGCAAGAACTAACGTCTCTGCATTTAAAGATATAAGCAAATGGCTATTAAAGGATGTTTGGTTTAGAGCGTTTTTAGCCAACGGTAGCTTGAACCAGGAGGAAACCAAATCCGGTGTTTTTTTTCAAAACAAGTCAACTTTTGAATCCCTCTACCGAATTTCCCGCCCATCCCAAGGCGCTTCCCTGGACTCTTCCCTGGCTTCCACGCAATAGGCTTATTTTCGACGTCGCACTCAATGCAAGGCATTGCACTGAGGGCCAAGGGCATCTGAGGGTTGGTGCCCAGTTGAAGGTCAGTCAGTTCCTTGCCGCATGCCGATTACGTCCACGCGCGCAGCTAAGGATTGGGGGGGGGGGGGGGGGGCGGACGCTGGTTGCGCTGCTGGAGACGAGAGTCCTGCGCGTAGTGCGCGTGCGCCAATTCCGCGCCAAACTCGGGCGCCAGTCTCGAGTGAAACCGAGCGGAGGTGGTGGGGAGGAGTGTGAAGTCGATACGAGATCAGTGAGTGTGACTAATTTTGTCATGCCTATGGCTGATTGACAGACTGTGGTTCGTTCCATACCTCACGGACGTTGAGTTGTTTTTGACGCTTGGTGTTAAAACGGAAGGCTTACCGCCTGCTGTTCGCCGGCAAGTTTGGGTACTGAGGTCCAGGATGGTTGCTTACCCTTATTGTGGTTCAGGGTAGATAGCCGCGAAACGTGGCTAAAGATGCTGTTCAAATCGCGGTACCGTTTTGCCCATAATGATCTCAGAAAGTGCGGAAAATTGATGTATTTTGAATTGAGAAAGATAGTTTCCTGGGCAAGGAATTCAGAGAACAAACAGAAAATGTCTGTAGATGCTATTTTTTAAATTCATTATATGTACTGGTTACTTGCTGTTGCAGATGCTTATTTAGGCATCTTACAACCTAGATATGTTTCTGGTTTGTGCCTCACAGAAACAGCCACAATATGCTCATATTTCTTTACAGAGATGGCATCTAATGGAAAAGGTGACGGTGCACATTTTGCACTGGATGATCCACTCAAGAAGGTGGACCCCCAGCTGTATGAAATTATTCTGAAGGAGAAGGTAAGAATTCTGTTAAGTTAGTTTTTAATTAGAATTAAGTAATACAAGATTTTGCAAAAATATAAACTACAAATAATACACCATTCCAAGCCAAAGCAAAGGCCCAAGTTGCCCTTCCTTTGAGCACTGCTCCACTCTGCCTGAGCTGTAGGAGATAGAAGTTGCACTTGTTATGCTTTCCATCAGCAAAATGAAGATTAATATAAAACATAAACTTATATAAATTGGGCATTTGAATCCCCAACAGAGAAACATTGCCAGTGATGTTTGTTGTGGCAAGCTCAGGACATGCAGCAGCCCAGAGATGTTTTGTAAAGAATACATGGTTTATATGAGTAGCTTTGAGTTCCCAGTGGGAGGATTAGAACTGGGAGAGCCATTGGAGCAATTTTTCCCAAACTTTGTGGAAATGAACATGGGTTCTTTAAGCATTGACTGGAAAGGAATAAACAAAATGAGTATTCAGCTGTTACCCCGGAGACCTGTCATTACCTATGGTTCAAAGTATTGCTAACTAGAGTTTGTTGCATGTTAACAGGGCCCACCATCCAGGTTTTTCCAGCCTGATTCATGGGATTAGTTTGTCTCCAGTCCCAAGCATTGCCAGGCAGGACAGTAGAGGTTTTCACCTTTGATGCTGTGTTATAGCATGGCTGCCCCAGGTTAGGATGACCCCCTTTGTCTGGCTAGCCTGTCCATGTAAGTTAGCCTAACAGTGAACCCTGCCCCCTGTATTGTGGTCATTGCTGCTCAATCATTCATCCAGCATCTCCTCTGAAGACCATGGAGGCTGATCTATAACACACACCAATGCAGTTGCTTATTTCAAGTTTATTACACATGTTGCTTTCAGACACATGGACAAACATTGAGCTTTAGCACATTTATAACACATGAAGGATCAATACAGCATGCCATGTTTGTCTAAAGCATGATTAACATCAAACTAACACCATCCTTACAACACACTTCATCCCATTAGCAATATATTGAATACCTTTTTTCACTGTTATTACTCCTGCATATTGTGCAGTCATGTCACCCACTCTTAATAACAGTTAGCTGGACAAACACAATGCAATCCAATAAATTATTAGCTGAAATCTTGAAACACAGCCAGTGGGATGTGGGATGGTCTACCATGATTAGGCAAGGATTGACCAGCAGCTCCATGATGGGCAAGCAGTTGGGAACAGTGAGATTCTCATGGCATTTCTATCCATGTTATGCCACAGGCATAACATTTTTTAAAAGATTCAGTTTAAAGTTTTGAATGGATGGATTTCTTGGATCAGAGCTTATGCTGAGCAGTGCCTGTGTTAGTAGCCTGACTGCATCATCCAATTGCCCAATTCCAGATCCAGTTGCCCAATTGCCCAACTCTAGGATGATGAATCGCTACAAAGTTAGGTATGGCAAGGGAATGGGCATCACTGCCCATGTGTCTTACAGCCAATGATTGGAGTACCATCACGCTCACCTTCCACCTGCTTCTAAAACTGACCACCAGGGGTGCCAGTAGTGTGGTGGTTAACGTGTCTGCCTTAATGACTGCACGTCTGGGAAACCAGAAGTACAGGGTTTGATTCCCCGCGGTGCCCGCCCTTTCCGCCAGGGCGAGAGGCAGGCGACGCCATGTAGCCTCAGCAGCTGAGTGCGTCGTAAAACCCCGATGACATGACATGACATGGCATAAAACTGACCTCCCAATGAGAGACCAG